GTTGCTTTTCATACTCTCTCGGAGATTTCATGTGTTCACAAATATATACAAGCCTATGCATCTTTGTTCTTAAATGAAAGGCACTTCAGCACTCTCCCTAACATGCTACAGGAACCTCCTTCATAAATCATCCACAAAAACAGTCCCCCATTCCAAAGGGAAAATGCCCAATAGTGGTGTGATCAGGCAACAATTGATGAATATGACCTTTACCACCTCATCTGCATATATGGCAACCAGACCTCTATGGATTACCTTTGATTTCTACATTTCTTCATGTGCTAGCAGCTGCCTCAGGGGCAAGTTCTTCACTGCCTGACTATTTAGCAGACATGGGCTATATTTCCTGGCTTTACTGACCAATGCCTGCCCCTCCCTCCATCCCCACCCTGCTGACAGCTACAAAATGGAGAAGACATAAATATGTCCCTGGAAAGCTATACCACCTTGGGTAAAAAGTTGGCATGGAAAGAAATAGCTTCAAGCATTTCACTCTGTACTTATTCCAAAAATGGTGCCTACAATTCCAGTAGTCTTCCAGCAGGACACAACAGCAGATCAACACACTGCAAACAGCTACAGCCGCCTCCTAGCTCTCAGTGAAAGGCGTTTCAGCTAACAAGCTTTACTTATCTTTGCTATATACCTGAGGACCGAAATAGTGAGTTACCACAGCTAAGCGGATGAATGACAAGTCCCTACCTTGTCTCAGCCAGAGAAATATGAAAACCACCAAAAGTGGGATAAAATCAGAAAGCAGGCATGCTTAATTAAGTCTTCATTAATAGCCTTCTTGGGAACTACATATACCAAATATTCCCTTTTTTCTATTTTACCTTCATGAAACATTTTGAAGTCCTCACTGAAGAAACCTCCACTGGTCTCTATGACAGTTTTCCAGGAATCAGAATTTGCACAGCTCACATCTTTAAAACAGATAATATGGCACTGTCTACATTGTAAAGTCAATTCAGAAGAAATATTTATCTAGAAGGAATTCATGAGAGTACATGAAGTGTTAGTTTCTCTTCCAACTGAAAACTGTGGCATAACAGATGCTGCCTGTAGCTCACAGCAGCATCATCCATGCTCATGCTACACATTAGACATGGCCCATGAAGCACTCTAACCTCAAGGCAAAATAATTCCTAATACCAAATGCTCACACAAAGACAGTTCAGAGTTGTGAAAAATACTTCCCTCCAACCTCATTTTCCATCTTCATTTTGTCAAAAGTTATTAAAAGCAGCATTAATGTCATGGTTCAAAAACTATTGCTTACCTAAGAATAATTCCCTTCCTCTGCCACAATATTTGTAATTCTGACTCCACGAGGGAAAACATAAAGTTATTATTTATGATGTTAAGGAAGTTCTGCCTTAAAAAATGCTGACACCCTAAAACGTGCACAAATTTATCAGAACTTATTGCAAATAATATAGATAAACACTACCTGCAAAAATCCATATGGATGTAACCCTGTTTACTGAAACTTTAATATATGAGATGACTTGTTTATCCCAAGTTATCAGAAGATAACTTAGAAACTTCAGAAGACAGCTTGTAGTAAATGGGGACTAAACCAAACTACATCCAAATGATGGTAGATGAAAAACTGGGTTGGATATAACCCTGGGTAGAAATACTAAATAAATTTTAATTAGATTGGGCTTCTTGCAAAAACAGGCAGGGTAAATTTTAGAAGTTCCCTGTATAATCCCAACTGCTCCTATTAATGTTAAAAACAGCACAGCATTCAGTATTTCTGAAAATTCCCCACATTACAAGACTTTCCCACAAGAGCTTTTATAGATAAGCTTCTCTGTTCTAATTTGTTTATCATTTTAGGAGTACACACAGAATCCAAAGGATACACAGGCTTCAAAAGTACATACATTGAACAGATTGAGGTAATACAAGGGATAAAATACCACCCTCTGGAAATTTTATCCTTTGTTTGCCAACACTAGTGACAATGTTTAGAATGAGATACTCCTTATCAAACATATCTGATGACTGTGGTTAAGTAAGCAATGCTATTTTAAGTATTAAGAACAGAAAATCAGGTTTATATATGTTGCATTGTACATTTATTGGACCTAATTATACTTGGAATAGAAAAGCTGAGAAAACAGACATTCCAAGTATGACAAAGGCTGTATCTCTAATAGTAAATCAAATGGACCTCGGAAAACTCTAGGCATTGAAGCCAGCTGACATGGAAGAGACCTTGTTTAGTCCAGTAAAGACTCTTAGTCTCTACAATGTGACAGCTGGATACAAACTGGTTACTGAGACTTTCCAGCTTCAAAACCATGCCAGAGAATTGCCTGGAAGGAATACAGATGACACATGCCAAAGTCATGCCAGAGGACATTCAGTTTGCGGTCCAGCACCCAGGAAGACTCCTGGACACCTCTTCTGGTTTCTAGAGCAGCTGTAGCCTCAGAGACCATCAGAATCCTAAAAAATTACTGCAGAAGATCTGGTACAGATCAATGTTAAAACCAAAGTTACAGACTGGAAGAAGCAACCACAGGACAGAGTAAAAGTAATTGCAGGTCCCAAACAAAGGGCTTGGTGAAGCCTATGCCATTTACAGAAGGTCAGATAGTAGTCACAGTATTTCTTTCAGATACATGGTGTTACATTATAGTTAGCATAGTCACTGACTCAAAATCATACCACTAAAACTCACTATGCTGAACAAAATCAGAATATTATTGAATACAGCACACATTCCATAAAGTATAACTCAACACAATGGCTTTGACTTCAAAGATTCTAAATGAAATGATTCTTAAGTCATTAAAAAAACACAAAACAACTGAAAAAACCCTTTGTTTCATTAAAGTTGCCATAGTAATTCAAAAGCACAACACATGTTTATGAAGAACACAGCATTTTAGGGGAAGAATCTCTCCATTCAGAAATTCTATGCAATTTGATGTGATGGAACTAGAGTCTATGCAGGAAAACCTCCAAGAGTTACCTGTTCTGATTTCAAGTAAAGGTTGAAACTTAGGAATTCAGAAATGAGATGAAGGGAAGGAAGGTATAATTCATTCTGAACTGAATAAAAGATTTTATTTTTCATTTATTTTCTAATTTAATACAGGATATTATTTACCCTGTTTTATATAAAATGAAGCATATATGCTAGAAGAGAGAATATCTGTGTATCTTAGAAAGAGCTCACATGTAACCAAAAAAACCCTGAAACAAACACTCTAAGGTGTAATCTACCACATTAATCTCTGTGGATGCTACTTAACCTGCTGATTATGCTTTAGCATTCCTAAGAAAATAACAACATGAAATCTATCTAACAGTCTAGTGAAATACGTCTCTGGGATAAGACAGACATTGATCTGACTTTTCTCTAGAAGAGGAGACATTTAGACTCAAGTCTTCAAAATCTCAGATGGCTCTCTAATCAGTATCACACTGGTTAAAAGCCCCTCCTCCCATCACTGACCTAGTGTAGGTATACATATCCAGAGCCATGTTCCCAGATATTACCCTCAAGGAGAGACAGATATTTCCCTACAAGATGACAATTCTGAAGGTCAAAATTTAGGCTATACTCTTTAGTGTTTATTACTGTCTAGATGGACAGCTTCCCACACTAAATACTTCTGGGACTAGGACCTGGAGGACAATAAGTTGAGCATGCGCCAATGATGTGCCCTTGCAGCAAAGAGGGTCATAGATTTCTTGGACTGCCTTGACAGCAGACCTAGGCACTGGTGAGACACCACCACTGGTGAGGCACCATTGCAGGCTCCCAGTAAAAGAAAGACATGATATACTGGAGTGAGTCCTACAAAGAGGCTACAGAGATGATGAAAGGACCAGAGCATCTACCATACAAGGAGAGGTTGAGGCAGCTGGAACTCTTCAGCCTTGAGAAGAGAAGGCTCAGGTGGGTCTTAACAATGTGTGTAAATACCTGCTGACGGGAGTCAAGAGGGACCCAAACTCTACTCGGAGGTGTTCAGTGAAAGGACAAAAGAAAATATGCACAAACTGAAACACAGGAAATGGTGTTTAAACCTAATAAAAAACTTTTTTTTCTGTCCAGCTTGCCCAGTGTTCGTGGACTTTCCATCCTTGGAGACAAGGTCCAGGGCAAGCTGCTGTAGTTGGCTCTGGTCTAAGCAGGGAGATTGGACTAGACAGTCTCCCAAAGTGATTCCATGAAAGCTGTTATCAAGTATACAGTCTTTAAAAATATTTCTCCCTTCATTTTACCTTCAACAATGAAATACCACTAGAAGTGTGCTAAGAAATGTTGATCTGCTTGCAACAACTAATTAAAAACTTACAAATTTTTAAATTATACAAATTTATTAGAAAACCATGTTAGATTGCAAACTGTTTCAGCATTACTGTTTTAAAGAGTAATATAAAATAAACTGGGAGAAAGAGCTGCATTAATATCATGGCATCAAACTAGAAGCTGTGATCCTAGGAATGGAAGCACAACATGAACAAAGCTGTTCTCTACAAAGGCTGAATGCCATCTCTATTACTATATTGGGTAAACTCTGCTTCAAAAAAGTCAAAGTTGTTCATGTCCACAACTACTTCTTTATGAACACAGAGTGTAATTGAGTGAATACTTGCTTTTAAGAAGGACTTTTTTATGAGACTGTCTGTGAACTCAACCCTTAACAGAAAGTGACAAGAAGAAGTGAAAAGAAATTATCCAAATATCTGATCTGGGACTGAGTGGTTATCAGATATATAAGCTCATGAGCACAAGGAAAAGATAGGAGATACTTGACATTGTTGCTTATACTCTATTCTCACTGAAAGCCTAAAAATGCCATCTAAAAATCCTGAGCACCAAAAAAATATCCAGAAACAAACACAATATATGCTTTCACTAATATGATTAGTAGTAATATATTGCATTCATAGAGCAGTTTCAGACCTTGTGGTGTTACATTCTGTTTTCTTTTGAAGCACACAATGCATTGGATTGCTTTACTTACTAGCAGCAGTAGCAGGACAATATCAGGATTATCACAGGCAGAGGCTACATGCATCGATGTCCAGAAATCCTCATCCTGATGATTTACATTTACTCCTCTGTCAATTAGAATTTCTGCAGCAAATGCATTATCGTAGCGGGCACACTAGAAGAAAGAAGAGCAGATTAGCAATGTTGGTTTACTCAGTGTACAACTGAGTTTATTACATATGACTTTTGGTCCATTTAACATTTAAATTGAGCAGATGATGCACTGTAGTTAAACTGCTGTTTGTAGGGGACAACAGCTGACGAATAGAAATAGTTTTCTGGAGAATACAACTTGCATGTGCATGATTCACAGAATCCCTTATTCCCTGTGAAAAAGCACTGTATGAAATCTGCTGAAATGCAGCAAGATGAGGCTTGCTTTCTCTTCAATATTGTAATTTCAAATCAGTGCACCAGCACCAGTGCATGATGATCACATCATGAGTAGTGGCATCTCAGTATATGTACACCCACACGTACATATGTCCACACGTATGTGAACTTTTATGCAGTTCATAGCAATAATACATGCTTCTCCACAATCACTCCTATTTCCAATCCACTAACTACATTGATTCCTATTCAACTGTCTCTGACAGATAAATACTCTGCACACTAGGGGTGTGTTGAGGGCAGGGACAGGGCAGGGGTTTTACACATGTGCGTATTTCTATACTTTGTCTTGATGATGGAGGTCACTCATTTTGGCAGAGAACACAGAAGTGGCTTAGTCATTGTTTTGAGCTTACTCCTCTGTCACATCTGTGACTTTTTATGGATGTGCTTATGGATAATACTTTAAAACACGATCAAGGCACCTGAGTTAGGATCCTAACTCTGGACTAACATACAAACTCAGTAACTTTTTAATGAAGGATCCTCTTTCTTTCCCTATTGGAGAGAGGTTACAGGGAGACTCATTTTCTGTGTTAGATACTTAGATGCTTTCAATACAACCCTTAATATGCATGCTTCTTCCAATATTTGAAGCTATATAATATTTCCTTGTCCCAAAAAGCACACATATACACTTAGAGTACAGATATAGTGAGATTTGCAAATAGTTTGCAAGTGCAAGTTAAATAATTATGTTGTTATGTCTGTATCACATGTGGAACCGCACCATGGCATGTATTAATCTGGCATGGAAGCCAGTACACTGGAGGAAGGCGGGAAGAAGAAAAAGTGCTTAACTGGCTTCCACTGCAAAGTCAAGACATAGCTGAGATATTCAACTGAATGTAGGAGCTGCATATACTTAAATCATAAATATAGACAACTCAGAAAATGAAGATGAATCTCTATCAGGCTAAAAAGCAGTCCTGCTTTAAATGATTTCCAAACATACTAACCATTAAATTACAGAACACAAATTAAGTTCTGATGTATTTGCTTTAGCTTGTAACTTACCTGACAGCTCTAGAAACAGTTTTGTTTTCTTGCATCAGTATTATTCATTGTATCAGTAGTATAACTTACATTGAGCTATTCAATGTTCAAATATTAACAAATCAGAGACAGAACATAATCTCATACCAATCACAGTTTCAAGGCATTATTAAGCAAAAAAAAATCTAGAGAGCTTCTATACAAAACAAATGACAGATGTCACTGAACCATTTTGTGTATTAGTAATTGTCATGGTTTTGACCCCAGATGGCAATTAAGCACCACCCAGCTGCTCACTCATTCCCCCCTGGTGGGATGGGGGAGAGAATCGTAAAAGTGTGAGAACTCATGGGTTAATAATGGATATGGACCTTTTTGTGATTAGTTACTAATTTGAAAACAGCCTAGATTTGTAGCAGCAATTTAATTGCTGCTGCTCCTTGATTCTTGTTTAATGGATTTTGTGAAGCAATTGGGCAATCTCAGTCAAAGTTCCATGAGAAAACTGGCATGATATAGTAACTAGGACAGGTTGGGTGACTGCTGCATGAATTGATATGACAGTATGTGCTTCCCACTGAATGGGCAACTCAGGCAAGTACTCTTTTTTTTTTTTTACTTCTCTCATGGAGTCTAATGAGAGTTCAGCGAATACCTTTGAAACTCCCATGGCTTCCCTGAGATTCAGCCATATTGGGACACTCTCTACAGAGGTAACAACAGAAACTTTATGTAGTGTCACATTTGATTTTTTATAGAAATATATCACATTTCAGAAGTTAATAGAAATGGAAAAAGAAAAAGGAAATAGATCACAAATCAGGTTTTGAGTAAAATGTGAACACAAACACATTTTCCATTCATTCTGGAATAAAAACATTTACCCTACAACTGAAAAGAATAAACACTGATTAGGCTCCCCTTTGGAGAAAGCATCTTACATAGAACTATAGTGATAAAACTACTACTTAGAATGGATCTGAGTGGGCATAAAGTTGCATGTGTAAATTACTATTTTGAGTTCTTGCAGGAAAATAAACTTGGCTTACTTGTTTCCCTGTATCATGACTCTCCTCTCCTATCCATACTGCTCCCAAATCAGGATCAAATCCAAGTTTCACTGAAATCAGGTTTACCCCTATCTCAAATAGGACTAGCATTTTCCTGTAAATGAATTATGAGTACTTACAAGTAACTGACTAAATTGAGGCAGTAGGTTACACACATTTCTCTATTGCATATTTCTTACTGCAGGAAGCTTTCCCTTCTTTTGAAGCATATGTGTGCCTGTGAAGCAGCAGGCATCAGTGGAGAGATACTGATTATGACAGCAAATTGGGGTGTGATGTAGAAAATCAAGAAACCTAAAAAGGCACAGTTCAACTCCAGATTTTATCTGCACTTAAAACTGTGCACCAGCTGAACTAGACAAAGCAGCCTAAAATCCCTAAAGATGGATTTTTATTTCTTCTATTTGAAAATGCCAGTGCGACAGATGTCACATCAGCCACACTGAGGATAAGACTGTCTCCCAGGGCTTTCAGCACAGGATAAGATTTGGGATGCCTCAATTTTGGAAATCCCTAAGATAACACCTTGTATGGGCTGCATTTTTAAAGAGTGCTTGAGCACCTTTGCAGCGGGCAAATAGTTGGAGGACAGAAAAGAGAAATTAAATTTTCTCTGTTTCAAATCATTACTTCACCTTCCCCTTACCTAGGCCTCTAATTCCCAAAGTCCTTGGTAAGTAGCATGGCCATGGAAGATGGAAAACACAGATTAATTCCCCAAGGGAAACACTACATTCTGCAACAGCATGGTCACAGGTGTGCTAGAGTCCAGTAATGTTATAGGATTGTTTTTTTCATCAAGAAATCACTCTATTTTGTGTATACACTATGAGAAACAAACTAATGGTTCTAAAATTAAATACTCTGCCAGCAGACTTTTCACTAGATCTGTTACGCCCTTGTATTTGTGAAGTCACATTTATTCTAGCAGTAGTTTCTTTCTGCCTGCCCATCAGTCTTTCCTCCACATGCCCTTATATCTTGCTTCTCTTTTCATCATTGTATACAAACTGTTTTCCTTTTATCTTCTAGCTACTCAATTTAAATTGCTATGCAAATAATGACAAACCAAATGCAGATAATGTGTTAAATATCCACATATAGGAAACTGGTGCAAGAAAATATACACAAAATCAAAAGGAGAAATGTTACATCATGGTGTTTTTCATACAGGACCTGTGAATCTCTGAACCATATAATTCTATCTTCAGAATCAAGCAACATTTCCTTTGTTTTTTCTTACTGCACAGATAATTTATAAATAAAACATTTTATTCTACTTTGTTAGTTACCATTCCTAGGACATAATCTATCCTTTTGTAAGCAATTTGAAAACAACCATTTATTTCACATACATAGCTGGATGCAATCGTAACCACCATGGAGGGCAGTGTAGATAAAAAATTATTGCTAAGCCTTTCTTTTTTTTTTTTTTTTTTTTTTTTTTAATATGCCCAATCTGCTACTCAGTATCCCACCATATTTATCTACAGTTACTAACACTAATCTTCAATCACTCTTACCAGATGGAGCAACGAGCCTCCTGAGGAAACAAGCATATGAGGGTCAGCACCATCCTTCAATAGCCGTAGCACTGAAATACCAAAGAAAAGAGAAACATGAATTAATGTAGCAATATACCTAATTCTGAGCTGTTAATAGGCTGATTCTTCATCATCTTCATTAAGAGATTTAATAATATATGCAAACTTCTCAGATAACATTTGCAAAACTATCATGTCAGCATTTTCCATCTCATCTATTTTAACGGCTAAGCCTTGAAGCAAAGGACCTCTGAGAACGATATTAAATACAAACAGCATCAAGGACTTCTCAAGCGGACAGATGAGCATGTCAGTTTATTACATAGGAGAGGACAGGGGAGGGCTGGAGGAGAGACCTCATCTCAAGGTCAAAATCACCTGATTAGTTCATTTGGAAGCAAAATCACAGTGAACTGGTTTTATTTTACTTTGCAGAGTTCCCATGAGATCTGTTGGCTTTTTCAGTAACTAGTGTTCATAACTTAAATCACTTGAAATTAATCACCATACCAAAGCTAAATGATCTGCACTCAATTTAACCTTTCTAGTGCATTGTCAGATCACTGACACAGCATAATTCTTAAAATGGCATTTGGAGGCAAACTCCATTCCCAGTTACATGTAACAAACTCCTTTGAAATGAAAACAGGCTTATAAACACAAGCAAAACCCCAACCTTTCATATTGATGCTCACTCAAGTGTGAAAATTCAGCACTTTTTCCCCATGGTCTTTATTGCCTTTATAACCTTTTCACTTGGAATAAAAACATTGACTAACTCATGCTGCCAGTGTTCATTCCTGGAAGAATTGCACAATAACAATGCCAGACGTTATCAGGGAATCCACACTGGCATTGCAACCCTGTCTTCACTAAACTGATATGAAGAAACCTTTTAAAAGGCCTCCCTCCAGGAGAATAACTGCCAATAATGTTTCCTGTGTCAGAACACAGCTGGTTCTGCCTCCATCATCTGGAAATACTGGTTTTTAACTCTTATTTAAGCTTCCTGGACGGAGTTGTTCAAAGGTCTGCAAAGAAATTTTAAGTTCTGAGTACCCCAGAAATCTGTTTCACTGCAGTTATACAGGAGGGTAACAAATGTATCTCAAGGCTTTTCTAACTTCTGTGAATCTGTCAAGAGACTCATGTACACCATCTTCTCCTTACCCATGCATTATTTGTATATGTTTTCTTTCTCTCTAGAATATCTTGCAACTCCCATTTTCACTGTACATTTAAACTTCTTACAGCATTCAAATGTTCGGTTGACCTATCTGAAAGGGGTCTGTTTCTTTTCAAATATTGTCAATTTACACAAGCAAAGTTTTCTGAATGTGTTGAATGATTTTTGACCAGGTGCCCTTGAAAAATTCAGCCTAAGAAAGAAAATTTGGCTAAATGGTTGCAAGCCTGTAAAAAGTTAAAGACTTGGCATCATCATTACTAAATACTTCACACACAGTAAACACATGGGTATATGAAACAGACATTTATAATAGCTTTACAAATCCATTTAATCTTTTGCTCTTTTTTAAAGTTTGAAAATCAAACATCAGTCCAAATCATTATATAAATTCATACTTCATTAATAGCTCCATGATACCTATTTCTCCTCACCAAAGGTTTTGCTTTGTTTAATTTATATAACTGTAAAATACTTTTATGTTCTGGCAAATGCTTCTTTGAAAGCTAGCTACTACGAGAAGTCAGTTGTCCCCCACATGTCTGCCAAAAGTAGAAGTGGAACATTTAGTACCATGGAATAAATGAACTGTGTAACAACTGCCAAGCAAGATGAAAAACACTGAAGCAGAGTGGGAAGGTGAAGAAATATTTACAAATTTTCATAACCTTGGGAAAAATGGATGAACAACAAGAAGCAATTTCTTTCTTCTCTCAGATCCACAAATGCAATCCTAAAACACACAGTTTTCCTCATCCAGACAGAGGTCATTAAAAATAATGGTTCAGAACTTAACTCCTTCCTTCTTTTAATTGTTGACCACACATGGAGATGCTTCCTCTACCTCAGGTTTTATTGAATAAAGACCTAATTGTAAAACCTCCCTCCTTAAATAGGTGTGCAACTGCATCCTCCTTAAGAGAAATATTTGCAATGTTCCTGTGCCATGTCATTTCTTTAGCAGGCCAGAAAATACAAATTCCATATCACAGAAGATATCTTAAGGCTCCAAAAGTAATTTCATTCTGTCAATCCCATCAGGATTTCACCTGAACAAATTAACACTCCAAGTTCTTCCCCTTCCTTCACCCCTGCTTTTCAGGGAAAAAAAACTAAATTCCAACTACTTCAGTCTCTCAGACACTTGATACAGTGGTTTTATGTAGCACTCTTTCTTATGAACTCTGTGTGCAGGTTAAAAATTTGAACTATGGTTTGCTTCCCCCTGAAATGATAGTCTCATTTGCAAATATGGGAATTACGGCAGGTTGTCCTTAAAAATGTGATTTGCAGGAATTATTAAACTGCCATAATTCTGTTCTCAGAGTGGCTTTAACTGATGACATCAGTGAGAGTATATAATTATTCAAAAGTGCCATCTTTATGGTACATTCTCACAGACTGCACTGCTGTCAAAAGGGGGAAGATGTGTTATCCACTGCACGGCCCACTCTCCCCTTGTGCCATCTCTCCTTACCCAACTGCGCATTCAACTGGACCAGTTTTTCGATTGTTTGTTTGTTTTCTTTTTTCTCTCTCCTAGCAGGGTTAGTTTTTGGCCCCATCAATGTGGCCAACCACACAGCCCCATAAACACCAGCACAGAGGATAGAAATGCACACATCATCTGGAGGCAGAGCATGCATGCTGCGTTATGGTGGCAGAAGTCTTACACTGGCTATGGCTGATAATAAAGTAACATCCTCAGTTTGCGTTTCCACAAGATGGGATAAGCTGGTTAAGGAGTCAACTAAAAGGGTCTGTTCCATTCCCCATTTGTGAAAGGATGTTATTTATCTCTGGCTACTTCTTCATCCAGGAACTGACTCTAATGTCACAAAATGACCCCAGCAAAAATAAAATGCAGAATGTCGTTGAGATAAACTCAATTGTTAAGAGTCTTGGGAACACCAAACTGGCTTTTGGGTATATCCTTCTAAGAAAAGACAGAGGATGAAGACCTCTCTCTTTTGGCAGGAATGGGACACACAAGATGGTCAGAGGGTTATGAAACTGCATTTCTGAAAATATTCCACAAGAATTTCATCTGGAGCTTAAAATAGTAACCATGTGACAGAAAGAGCCTGTGGCTACAGAATGTGGGTACAGAATATACAGACTATTTATTGAGTTTTTTGTTTCTATCAAACCCACAAAGACTTGGTTCTTATAGAGAAGCTATGAAAAATTAAGTAATGCCTTTCCAGACCGACTTAGCAACACCTTGTCATTGAAACCAAAAAATGACAGACCATTTATAGATCTGAGATTGAAATTCGTAAGACTGAATGTTTTTGCCTTCTATTTCCCCCCCTCCCCCCAGAAGAAATGCAGACCAAGATTATAGCATAAAGAATTAATAATGAACTCTGATCTTAAAGTACAATACTAAATAACTATGACCACAAACAAATCATCAAATCACATACAAAAAAGATAGGGTAAGTGGATAAAAGCTCAGTAGTTATTTTCATTGCCTGGTTTATTCTTCCTCATTACTCCATGTGCCTTAATCAGTGCTTCAGGAAATTCATGACACAAAGACTATCAGGGCAAGATACGCAAACTCTCCTTTCAATTTGGCAAGAGTCTTTATTCTGAATCAAGATTACATGCTACTTTCATCTGCATATAAAGACAGGTAAAATATGTTTCTCTTTCCTTAAATTCATCCCCCTTGCAAAACACAATTAAAAATAAAGAAGCACGGAAGCAAAATCTCCCTCCCTACCATAATGCTCACTTAGACCATTCACTTAAGAGTTCAGTAATCAGTAAGAAAATCTTCACCTTATGATTATTTTTTCCACTACTCTAGTCACTGTTAGTAAGTTGGGATGAATTGCCCTAATGAGGAGAGAAAGTCATAACTATATTCCAGAAATGCTATATATCTCTTAATTAATGTATTTTTAGAGGAAGTTTCACAATACTTTCTTTCAAAACTTGTTTTATTTGTAATCTTCCATGAAAGAGAAATCTTCAAATAAAATGAGGAGACTAAAAACAGGAAGCTGACACTTGAAAAAAAAATGAGTAGAATTTTCAGTAAATCCTGAAGTCATTCCTTTGTGTGCATAAACAGGTCGATTCATTTTCTGATGTCTTAGATTTGACATGCAAAATTCTACTTAGAGTAGAATTTCACACCTAATTTCATATATAATAAAGGTGCTTTAGAAAACATAAATAACTAGTACTTATGCTCTGCTGTGTTGAACAGCATCTAGCTACTCTGGCATGTAGAACTATCTATGACTTTATATGCTGCAGACAAAAGGAGTACAGGTCTGAAGTGACATCAGAGCCTGGAAGATTAATTCAGAGGGCCCGGGGCTATCAATAACTCACCAGTGATCAGCTACTAATGGTAATGCAAAATTAGGAGCAGGGCAATGTTGCACTCACAGCAAACCCAGTTTTAGTAGTAACAGAAAAGACAAAAAAAAAAGTGTCTAACATATGTAGAACTTAACTGTTGGCCATCTGCTGTGCTGGATAGAGTACCAGTATATGTTTCTATTAATCGTTCCTCTGAGGAGTAGCAGCTAGCTAGTGTAAACTTTGTTCCTGCTAACATCTATTTTTGTTCTCTTTAGTTTAGCAGGAATAACTGTAGCTGGGAGGCTTTACTTGTTCATTATGTGCAAAAACATGACTTGCTGCAGAAGCCTAGCTACAACCATGCTGCTGCTGGAATGGATTACACCATTCTTCTGTTTCAGGCTGCATGTTTCTGCCACATGCCTTGCACTGGCACAAGGCAAAGATTAATTTTCAACTAAATCAACAATCTGGAAATGTGGCACTGGGTAACGGGTATGAACAGGGAGAATGGGGTAACCACCACTTTCACTATAGCTG